TTATCGGCGATACCTGGTTTATCGAGTATCAAGTTTCGGATTATCAATAAGAACATAATAAACAAACATGCAGGAGAGACAGTTGTCCGTGTGAAAACATTACCCACGTACAACAACACGTTCTTTCAGTGGCGTAGACTACATTCGATGGGGGGGGGGAGGAAAGAGGGTCAATTTTTTTTTTTTAATACACATATTTTACATTAGGGTTTTAAGAGCGGAAAATGGTGGTTTTATGGCGATACAACTTTGAAATTGCAGGTATTAAAAGTTAAATATGTAGGAGGTCCCTGAGTCCACCCAGCTCTAATGGGTACCTGATTCACGTTAGGGAAATTAAGACGGCTGGGCATAATGCTGATCAAACTATCCCCTGTATACCGATGTCAATGAAACAGATTAACTCTGCTTCATCTGCCTTGTGCATCTTATACACGAACAGGAAATGATGAAGTATTAAAAGTAACAAGAACGTACCGTCACCAAGAGCTGTAACGTGATAGCCCCCCCCCCACCCCCCCAGCTACGCCTGTGTGTAGTATATTTACTTATGTGTATATTTCTACACGTGTTAGCGCAGATTTTATTTCCTTGCTTCCAACGGGCGAGGGAATGCTATTGTTTTCTTCACGTGAAACTGTTGTTGTTCTAGCTGGGTTCGTGTACTCTACCAACATGGGGTTTGTGTACTCTACCAACATGGGGTTTGTGTACTCTACCAACATGGGGTTTGTGTACTCTACCCACATGGGGTTTGTGTACTCTACCCACATGGGGTTTGTGTACTCTACCCACATGGGGTTTGTGTACTCTACCCACATGGGGTTTGTGTACTCTACCCACATGGGGTTTGTGTACTCTACCCACATGGGTACCCACATAGGGTTTGTGTACTCTACCCACATGGGGTTTTTGTACTCTACCCACATGGGTACCCACATAGGGTTTGTGTACTCTACCCACATAGGGTTTGTGTACTCTACCCACATAGGGTTTGTGTACTCTACCCACATAGGGTTTGTGTACTCTACCCACATGGGGTTTGTGTACTCTACCCACATGGGTACCCACATGGGGTTTGTGTACTCTACCCACATGGGTACCCACATGGGGTTTGTGTACTCTACCCACATGGGTACCCACATGGGGTTTGTGTACTCTACCCACATGGGTACCCACATGGGGTTTGTGTACTCTACCCACATGGGTACCCACATGGGGTTTGTGTACTCTACCCACATGGGTACCCACATGGGGTTTGTGTACTCTACCCACATGGGTACCCACATGGGGTTTGTGTACTCTACCCACATGGGTACCCACATGGGGTTTGTGTACTCTACCCACATGGGTACCCACATGAGTTTGTGTACTCTACCCACATGGGTACCCACATGGGGTTTGTGTACTCTACCCACATGGGTACCCACATGGGGTTTGTGTACTCTACCCACATGGGTACCCACATGGGGTTTGTGTACTCTACCCACATGGGTACCCACATGGGGTTTGTGTACTCTACCCACATGGGGTTTGTGTACTCTACCCACATGGGGTTTGTGTACTCTACCCACATGGGGTTTGTGTACTCTACCCACATGGGGTTTGTGTACTCTACCCACATGGGGTTTGTGTACTCTACCCACATGGGGTTTGTGTACTCTACCCACATGGGGTTTGTGTACTCTACCCACATGGGGTTTGTGTACTCTACCCACATGGGGTTTGTGTACTCTACCCACATGGGGTTTGTGTACTCTACCCACATGGGGTTTGTGTACTCTACCCACATGGGGTTTGTGTACTCTACCCACATGGGGTTTGTGTACTCTACCCACATGGGGTTTGTGTACTCTACCCACATGGGGTTTGTGTACTCTACCCACATGGGGTTTGTGTACTCTACCCACATGGGGTTTGTGTACTCTACCCACATGGGGTTTGTGTACTCTACCCACATGGGGTTTGTGTACTCTACCCACATGGGGTTTGTGTACTCTACCCACATGGGGTTTGTGTACTCTACCCACATGGGGTTTGTGTACTCTACCAACATGGGGTTTGTGTACTCTACCCACATGGGGTTTGTGTACTCTACCCACATGGGGTTTGTGTACTCTACCCACATGGGGTTTGTGTACTCTACCCACATGGGTACCCACATAGGGTTTGTGTACTCTACCCACATGGGGTTTGTGTACTCTACCCACATGGGGTTTGTGTACTCTACCCACATGGGGTTTGTGTACTCTACCCACATGGGGTTTGTGTACTCTACCCACATGGGGTTTGTGTACTCTACCCACATGGGGTTTGTGTACTCTACCCACATGGGTACCCACATAGGGTTTGTGTACTCTACCCACATGGGGTTTGTGTACTCTACCCACATGGGGTTTGTGTACTCTACCCACATGGGGTTTGTGTACTCTACCCACATGGGGTTTGTGTACTCTACCCACATGGGGTTTGTGTACTCTACCCACATGGGTACCCACATAGGGTTTGTGTACTCTACCCACATGGGGTTTGTGTACTCTACCCACATGGGGTTTGTGTACTCTACCCACATGGGGTTTGTGTACTCTACCCACATGGGGTTTGTGTACTCTACCCACATGGGGTTTGTGTACTCTACCCACATGGGGTTTGTGTACTCTACCCACATGGGGTTTGTGTACTCTACCCACATGGGGTTTGTGTACTCTACCCACATGGGATTTGTGTACTCTACCCACATGGGATTTGTGTACTCTACCCACATGGGGTTTGTGTACTCTACCCACATGGGGTTTGTGTACTCTACCCACATGGGGTTTGTGTACTCTACCCACATGGGGTTTGTGTACTCTACCCACATGGGGTTTGTGTACTCTACCCACATGGGGTTTGTGTACTCTACCCACATGGGGTTTGTGTACTCTACCCACATGGGGTTTGTGTACTCTACCCACATGGGGTTTGTGTACTCTACCCACATGGGGTTTGTGTACTCTACCCACATGGGGTTTGTGTACTCTACCCACATGGGGTTTGTGTACTCTACCCACATGGGGTTTGTGTACTCTACCCACACGGGGTTTGTGTACTCTAACCACACGGGGTTTGTGTACTCTACCCACATGGGATTTGTGTACTCTACCCACATGGGATTTGTGTACTCTACCCACATGGGGTTTGTGTACTCTACCCACATGGGGTTCGTGTACTCTACCCACACGGGGTTTGTGTACTCTACCCACATGGGATTTGTGTACTCTACCCACATGGGGTTTGTGTACTCTACCCACATGGGATTTGTGTACTCTACCCACATGGGGTTTGTGTACTCTACCCACATGGGGTTTGTGTACTCTACCCACATGGGGTTTGTGTACTCTACCCACATGTGGTTTGTGTACTCTACCCACATGGGGTTTGTGTACTCTACCCACATGGGGTTTGTGTACTCTACCCACATGTGGTTTGTGTACTCTACCCACATGGGTACCTCGTCTCTCGGGGGTTATGGAAACGTGTCTGTGTACCCACAGATGTGACATAGTCACGTGTCATTATACAATTACCAAGGTGATTTGGTGGACTGTGTAATAGGGTAAGGGTCGATGAAGAAGACCAACAGAATGCTCTTATAAATTTAGAACCTGCCCCTCATCACCAGCAGTGTTTCTTTCAGCAATTTTTTTCTCCGGTTAAGGGAGGGGGACACTTGAAACTACTGAGACAGGGACACTGATTAGAGTAGGTATTTTAAAAACAAATTATGTTTTCCATTTCGTCTGTTAGACGAGCTCCGACTAGGGGAGAGGGTGGGGGGGGGGGGTTAATGTGTCCCTAGGAGATATGTATGAAAGAACACTAATCGTCGAGCAATATGATTAGTTAGGATTTACATCTTCCCGTATGATATGGGCAAGTCAATGGAAGGGGCGTAGCGAGGGGGGGGGGGGGGGGCGGGGGGGTGCGGACCGCACCGGGTGACACCATTTAGGGGGGTGACACCAAGGCAAAAAATAGCAAAATATATAGAGAAAAACTCGAGGGGGGTGGTGCAAATCGAAAGTTTGAGGGGGGGGGGGGTGCAAATCGAAAGTTTGGGGGGGGGGTGCAAATCGAAAATTTGAAAGTTTGTCCCTGGGAAGGGTCTCTATGCCTCTGGGGGGGGGGGGGGTGACACCATTAAGTGCCGCACCGGGTGACACCCGACCTCGCTACGCCACTGACCAATAGTATCTCGTGTCTACAGACCCATCCAACGATGTGCCTCCAATCTAGTAGTTGGAGTTCCGTGAAACAAGCCTAAGCACACATCAGCACTACATCTCTCTAGCCAGCAAACCACTGTTTTATAACAACGGCGACCATTACAGCAGCAACACATTAACAACAACAACAACAACAACAACAACAACAACTGACTAGCAAGATCAGTTCATGGCCTCAACGATTAACTTCAAAATTCATCCATCCTCTCAGTAACAAATCAACTTACATCACCAGCTGTTCAATGACCACCAGCTCACAAACATTCCATAAACAAACTCACTATCAATCATGGACGCAATATTTTCGCGCTCTCACGAGATAGACAATAACACCCACACGTGTATACCGTGTTTCTTCCAGACTTTTTTCTCCGGGGGGGGGGGGGGCGGTAGACTTTCTTCTGGGGAGGGGGGTCGGACACTGTTAAAAGTATATATTTTCTGTATAAATTATATACATTTTATTTCGTTCGAAGAGATGCCTGGAAGAAACTCTGCTTGTATACAATCAGGGATAATTAAGATCTTTAAAAAATGCACAATTTATGTTTAAAAAAGTATTTGTTTAATAAAAAAAAACAAATATTTCGTCATCGAAATAACACAAAAGTTACATATCAAGCTACACGTGTTAAGCCACGCCTATCAACACGCTGTGATACTTATGTAATCACACTGACCTATTTTCTCCAATGACGTCACGACACTTTGTTCCAGAAAATATAACGCACTTACCGCCCTTCACAAGTCACCTCTCCTTCCCAAACTAATCCTACGCCATAACATTAAAAATATCCACCAGCTTTCTGTTTGAATAGACCATTACAGTCAAAAGTTTGATCCTTTCCTTTCAACGCACATGCTAAGTGTTCAACTTTTCAATCAACCCGCCTCTCGTTCTGTCATAAACTCGCGTGTCATAGGTCAACCCGGTGCAGGCGTCTTTTCACTATCGTTTTTTTAAAGCAGATTTAGGATTGATATAAATAGAAACGTGATTTTTACAGGCTGACAAAAGAAGTGACTGATTCGAACAAATAATCTATTGAAATATTATTTTTTTTTTTTTGAGAATTTATTTTTAACAAATGAGCTACAAAGACAACAATGTTTATAATTTTAACTTTAACGACGCATTAAAAACAAGAGACGAATGACTAAAATCATCAACAGTGACTCAGAATAAAACGCGGGAGCCGGAGTGGCCTAATTGACAACCCCCTGGGACAACAACCACTTACATCCTCTGTAATGCCTACATCGAACTTGAAAGAGAAAGGGGGAGAGGGAAAAAAAACGGCAAGACAAATCGTGCTGTGACTAAGATTTCGTCTGCTAAATTAAAAAGCCGGTTTGTACAAAACATTAAAAAAACTGGATTGTAAAAAAAAAAAAAAAGAGTCGGAACAAAAATAGCATCTAGTTGGTTTATTCTAGTAGTTCTATATTTAATATAAGCCTATATTTTGTAGACGAAAATAGGAAATAAATTATCGACTTTTAAGCGAAGCTTAAAAGATTACACTAATCGGGGAAGGGGGGGGGTGACAGCAATTGTCTTGTGACTTTTAGAAAGATATATGGGTTCAATTGAAAGAAAGATTGACACGATAGAAGAAATATACGATGACAAAACTAGAGACCAACACTACAGAAATGAGGTCATAAAGACGTCGCGCAATCGCACTAAGAGGCCAGGCTACTTTTAGCCCTGATTCAGCGCGATGACAAGCCGAATCAACGATACAAGACACAGCAGTCTGCAAAGGTGGCGCGCGCTGGTTTTTTTGTTAAAGATCGTCGCTTATTCTAATAAAGAAGTCAGTTGTGACGTTTAAAGCAGAGACATGGAATATGGAGATTGCGTAAGTTAAAAAACGCACTGACACATTGAGCATTATGTAAATTAAGTCTGCCGGGTTTAGGGTAAAAAAATGAAACGAAGATTTAACTTACTTAGGCCTGTTTTCTTTGTGACGTCAGAAATGGTTACATAAGTTGAAGGTCACTGCATCAATAATTAGTACTTTGGTGTGTTGTAATGGAGCACTTTAAAAACAAATCTGTGCTAATGAGCTCTTGCATATTTTGCCCTATGTTCAGAAGTTGACACTGGCATATAGTTTTTATTCTTACTAGTACAATTTATCATTTTTAAAAAGGAAAAGGACACGATTGTGTTTCAATATTAAAGAACTGATTTTTCGCTTTAAAAATACCTTGTTACTTATTTAAAAGAGAGAAACAGAAACCTAATTTAAACTTATCTTCAATAAATATCAACCGATTTAACTAATCCCCCCTCCCCCACCCCTTTACCAATGAAAAAAAACCCCACAGAAACACCACTAGAAACGCCCCTTGCCAACAAAGACACCAAGTAGAGGGGTGGGAGTGGGTGGGATTTGATCACATGACCTAATTCCCCTAATACATTGTTCTAGAACTTAACTGATACGATCGGGTTTAGTTTCTCGTCAAGCCGAAGAGCACACAGCAACGACCGGAGCAGACGACAGAACACAAGACTAAATAGTCGATTACTACAACAAGGCGAGTTGAACGGTTCGATTACGACTCTGACACATCTAAAAAACGTAATGAAAATTTTCCAATCGATCACTCAGGTACATTAAAATCACACGACCCAAATGGACTGTAAGCCTTTATGTACTAACACTGAACAGGGATATGGTTATCAAGTTTTGGGGGATTAAAGCCAGATTAAGGGAAATAGAACCTGTATTCTGATAACTTCGTATTTAGACACCGAACCACGGAATCAGGCAACCGAACCACGGAATCAGGCAACCGAACCACGCAATCAGGCAACCGAACCACGGAATCAGGCAACCGAACCACGGAATCAGGCAACCGAACCACGGAATCAGGCAACCGAACCACGGAATCAGGCAACCGAACCACGGAATCAGGCAACCGAACCACGGAATCAGGCAACCGAACCACGGAATCAGGCAACCGAACCACGGAATCAGGCAACCGAACCACGGAATCAGACAACCGAACCACGGAATCAGACAACCGAACCACGGAATCGGGCAACCGACCACTATTCAGACAAGTGAAACTCGTTTTCAGCAAATTAAACCCGGTAGTGAACACAACACTAATGATCAAGGTGTTGTTTCGTTTGGGGGGGGGGGGAGGTTCTGGCGTGGGGGTGTTGTGGTGTCTGAGTGAGTAGGGGTGTGAGTGGGAGTATTGTGGCGAGAGTGAGTGGGGTGTTGTGGTGTTTGGGTGAGGTGTGAGTGGGGGTGATGTGGTGAGTGGGGTGTTGTGGTGTTTGGGTGGGGGTGTGAGCGTGAGTGGGTGTGTGAGTGTGAGTGGGGGTGTGAGTGTGAGTGGGGGTGTGAGTGTGAGTGGGGGTGTGAGTGTGAGTGATGTGAGTGGGGGTGATGTGGTGAGTGGGGGTGATGTGGTGAGTGGGGGTGATGTGGTGAGTGGGGGTGATGTGGTGAGTGGGGGTGATGTGGTGAGTGGGGGTGATGTAGTGAGTGGGGTGTTGTGGTGTATAGGTGAGTGGGTGTTGTGGTGAGTGGGTGAGTGTGGGTTTTGTTTTCGTGTGGGTGTTGTGGCGTGTGGGTTTTGTTTTCGTGTGGGTGTTGTGGCGTGTGGGTGTTGTGGCGTGTGGGTGTTGTGGCGTGTGAGTGTTGTGGCGTGTGGGTGTTGTGGCGTGTGAGTGTTGTGGCGTGTGGGTGTTGTGGCGTGTGGGTGTTGTGGCGTGTGGGTGTTGTGGCGTGTGAGTGTTGTGGCGTGTGGGTGTTGTGGCGTGTGGGTGTTGTGGCGTGTGGGTGTTGTGGCGTGTGGGTGTTGTGGCGTGTGAGTGTTGTGGCGTGTGGGTGTTGTGGCGTGTGGGTGTTGTGGCGTGTGAGTGTTGTGGCGTGTGGGTGTTGTGGCGTGTGAGTGTTGTGGCGTGTGGGTGAAAGATAAAACGCTCTATGACATAAAACAACGAACTGGGATAATGTGTTGCTACAGTGAACGGAAAGTCTTCAGTAATAAAAGCGTCAACCGTCAATTTTGTATTCTCTGAGAGAGAGAGAGAGAGAGAGAGAGAGAGAGAGAGAGAGAGAGAGAGAGAGAGAGAGAGAAAAGGGGGATGGAGGAGGGGGTGAGACAGTGGGGGACGACAGCTGTAAAAGGAAAGCGCGTGTATTTTGTTACGGAACGCAATTGTTGAAATGAAATGTGAAATCTGGAGCTTGTGTTGAAGTATAGATGTGGTTGTGTGTTACACGGTACGCTCGGTTATCAAGTGACATAGAAACGATGAAGGTTAAAGTCTCTCAAGGTTAAGGCTAGGGTTAGTGTCAGAAAGTATGTGGGGGGGGGGGGGGGGGGGGGGCGGGACTATAATTAATGCTGGCATAGTTCGGCTACTCCTCATCAGACATGGGATACAGAAAGTGCACGTTAACTTCTCAGCAAGAATCCGAATGTCTACCTCCCCTCACCCTCCCCGCTCATCCACCTTTAAAGAATTTAAAAATGTCCCCCTCCCCCCTCTTCGTCTTGCAGTTCAATTTGTAAACATTTTTATTTCTAGCGCAGCTTTCATTTTATCCTTTCTAAAGGTACAAGCAAACATCAATTTTAAAAAATAAACGAGGCATAAAAACCCTAATCTGATATCAGAGGTCAAGTTATTTAAGAAAACAAACATCCGTATTTTAAATTCTAGCTAACAACGTTCTGTAAAGAACACAAAAAAACAACAACCGAAAAGTACACTTTCAAAAGAGTATAAAAGTTCGTGTGCTCAAAGCTATATTTGTCACTTGTTTTGTTCTTGAAAGTCGAATCTCATATATCAAGGCCGAAGGGGCTATATTTGGTCTTAGATTCATTAATTTACAAAGCAACTATTTTCATATCGCTTTTTATAGAAAAAAAATATTCATAGTTTGGAAATAAAAAATAATATTTTTTTTTTTGCTTGTTATTGTAAAAAAAAAATAACCATTGCATAACAACCCGAATTTGGTCCTTCACAAATGGCAAAACCATCATGGCGGCTGTTTGACTTCCGGTGAGAGATCTCGTTAACCCAAGGGGGGAGCAGGCACAACATAGCGGACCCTTTGTCAGACTTGAGAGACGGCATACACTAACAGACCCGGGGCTTCGGGGTGCGGGCTGTGATTGGGGGTGTTTAAAAGTCGACAAATTGGTCGGCGGGTGGGTAAGTTGATGGAGTGGCTGGTCGATTGGTCGAGTAGAGATGGATGGTGGAGGCTGGTATCTGACGCGACTTAGTCTTCACACAAGCTATGTTGTCCTTCTCTTTACGGCGATAACATTGAATAAAAGAGAATAAAAAAAAAATAAACCCACTGTGATGATAAAACGAAATTGTGTGGAGGATTTTCCATACCATGGTTGTTGGTTATCTTAGAGTAAGGATTAGTAGGTTTAGTGCTAGGAGTTAGGATCAGTGGCGTATACAGGTTTTCGGGATAGGGGTAGCGGCGGGTGCACAGATAAATGAGCGTGCGTATGTTTTTAACTTTTTAAAACCTGTACTGCTATTATTACGCTATTTTGATAAAACTAATTGCAATTTCGGTGTGGTTAGGTTGTTAGGATTACGGTCGGATTGTTAGGAATACGGTGAGTGTTTCTTGCAGCAGACTTTATTCTCGGGGGGGGGGGGGGGGGGGGGGCGGATAAAATTTCCCAGGGGTGGACACTGGTAAAAGTATATGTTTTCTATATAAATTCCGCTGCGTTGTTAGGAATTCGGTTGAATTTTTACTTTTTTGTAGGGGTGAAAGTCAGCTAACTTTCGCGACACTATTTATGTAAAATATCCTCGCCATTCGTTCACACTAAAGTAATACTAATATCACTTGTATTAATTGTAATAAATGCCCAACTCCATTAAAAAAACGTCAAATTCCACTGTTGCAGAAATTAAACAAATAAACAGCTGTCAATCAAACGACGGGCATCGATAAGTGTCAGCACGTGCCAATGCGTCAGAGCCGAGCGTCAGGTGACTCTCTGGGGGTTCTTGTATACAACACTTGCTGCTGGGGGTGACAGGACTACATGCCAACACACATGACGCCAACACACATAACGCCAACACACATAACGCCAACACACACTTCGCCAACACACACTTCGCCAACACACACAACGCCAACACACATATCGCCAACACACATAACGCCAACACACATAACGCCAACACACATAACGCCAACACACATAACGCCAACACACATAACGCCAACACACATAACGCCAACACACATAACGCCAACACACATAACGCCAACACACATGACGCCAACACACATGACGCCAACACACATAACGCCAACACACACTTCGCCAACACACACAACGCCAACACACATATCGCCAACACGCATAACGCCAACACACACTTCGCCAACACACATAACGCCAACACACATAACGCCAACACACATAACGCCAACACACATAACGCCAACACACATGACGCCAACACACATGACGCCAACACACATAACGCCAACACACACAACGCCTACACACACAACGCCAACACACACAACGCCAACACACACGACGCCAACACACATGACGCCAACACACATAACGCCAACGCACATAACGCCAACACATTGCGCCAATAGACATATTGGCACATATAAAACGAATACACATACAGTAAGATAACGTAAGACCAGTCGACACGATATCAAAGATATTTAAAAAAAGAAATACTAATCTGCACAGATACGGTTTAGATACACTCCTATCTGATTATCCACAGGAAAGAGTATCACATATAAAAGGAAAAAAACGGACCTCATAATATAACACCACACTCCCCCCATTGAGGTCTAAATCAAATGTTAATTTAAATGTGACGTCATCACACTACAAAACACGCTCGGGTCGGGATATACAGAGACTTTGAATAGTTTTATTTCTGCTGTATCGACGGTAACCACACAACACGTACTGTAGTAGGTCTATATCATGTAGTTTTAATGGGGCGTCGCAGCTGTAGGCACCAGCTTTAGCAAGTTTCACTAGTGGGCTGACTGGTCCATAAAACCTACGGTATCTCACGAATTAGACACGTAGGCTATATACATTTAATGTAGCGCCACAATTGTAGCAAGTTGCATTAGAAGTGCCGACTGGGCCATAAAACCTACGATATCTCGCGAATTAAACACGTGCATTCGAAACTCGCAAATACAAGCACTTTATACGAAGTCGACATGGCGTCACACTATAGAGTGGACATACTGAAACCCATGATGTCAGAAACTACGACATCTCGCGAATACAACACGCACTGAATACATAGTTAGATGTGGTACCTCAGCCGAGGACAAACGGAAGTGTGAAAAACTACAACAACTCGCGAATGCAATACGAACATGAATTTAACTCAGCGCCTCAAATTTAGCTAGTTGCAACAAAGTTCAGTATGTGAAATAAATGTGACGCCACAGCCAACCAGTGTCGCAAAATACGACAACTCGCGAACACAACAGGTATTGTACGTCATGTAGAAGCATGCAACGCGACATCCGGGGACTTCAGAAACCCACCGGGCCACCTCAGAGCTCCGGTGCGACCTGCTACTAATCGGTCAAGAGACCACCACCTGCACGATTCACGTGAACACACGGTAATTTTAGCGCTGACTCAATGACACACAGGTTTTATCTAGGCGATCGCTGAAGTCTATCTTAGTCTCATTTCATAGAGATCTACTAAACACGCCAGCGGCCCAACTCTCGATGTATTTGTTAGAAGGAATAACAGCCACTAAGCGTGGTTGGCAATCTAAAGAGTAAAATGTATGATCGGTTCTTTTAGCTTGCATGTTTATTTACGGTTTATTCTGGGTTTTTGGGTACAAGATAGCTAAGGATACGATCGAGATAAATTATAATACGCTTTGTTATTACTTTGGTGGTGGGGCGTTTAGAGGGAATATGCGTGTAGGTTGTGCGAGTGGGATTACTTATTGTGAGGGCGGAGCAAGTCAATGAGGGCGGAGCAATTCACTATGTGGATGGAACAAGTCAATATGGGGACGGAGCAAGTCAATATGAGGACGGAGCAAGTCAATATGGGGACGGAGCAAGTCAATATGGGGACGGAGCAAGTCAATATGGGGACGGAGCAAGTCAATATGAGGACGGAGCAAGTCAATATGGGGACGGAGCAAGTCAATATGGGGACGGAGCAAGTCAATATGAGGACGGAGCAAGTCAATATGGGGACGGAGCAAGTCAATATGAGGACGGAGCAAGTCAATATGGGGACGGAGCAAGTCAATATGAGGACGGAGCAAGTCAATATGGGGACGGAGCAAGTCAATATGGGGACGGAGCAAGTCAATATGGGGACGGAGCAAGTCAATGAGGGCGGAGCAATTCACTATGTGGATGGAACAAGTCAATATGGGGACGGAGCAAGTCAATATGAGGACGGAGCAAGTCAATATGGGGACGGAGCAAGTCAATATGGGGACGGAGCAAGTCAATATGGGGACGGAGCAAGTCAATATGGGGACGGAGCAAGTCAATATGGGGACGGAGCAAGTCAATATGGGGACGGAGCAAGTCAATATGAGGACGGAGCAAGTCAATATGGGGACGGAGCAAGTCAATATGAGGACGGAGCAAGTCAATATGGGGACGGAGCAAGTCAATATGGGGACGGAGCAAGTCAATATGGGGACGGAGCAAGTCAATATGGGGACGGAGCAAGTCAATATGGGGACGGAGCAAGTCAATATGAGGACGGAGCAAGTCGATATGGGGACGGAGCAAGTCAGTATGAGGGCGGAGCAAGTCAATATGGGGACGGAGCAAGTCAATATGAGGACGGAGCAAGTCAATATGGGGACGGAGCAAGTCAATATGGGGACGGAGCAAGTCAATATGGGGACGGAGCAAGTCAATATGAGGACGGAGCAAGTCAGTATGAGGGCGGAGCAAGTCAATATGGGGACGGAGCAAGTCAATATGAGGACGGAGCAAGTCAATATGGGGACGGAGCAAGTCAATATGAAGGTCGGGCACTGTTGTGAGGGTCGGGCACTGTTGTGAGGGTCGGGCACTGTTGTGAGGGTGGGGGCACTGTTGTGAGGGTGGGGGCACTGTTGTGAGGGTGGGGGCACTGTTGTGAGGGTGGGGGCACTGTTGTGAGGGTGGGGGCACTGTTGTGAGGGTGGGGGCACTGTTGTGAGGGTGGGGGCACTGTTGTGAGGGTGGGGGCACTGTTGTGAGGGTGGGGGCACTGTTGTGAGGGTGGGGGCACTGTTGTGAGGGTGGGGGCACTGTTGTGAGGGTGGGGGCACTGTTGTGAGGGTGAAGCACTGTTGTGAGGGTGGGGGCACTGTTGTGAGGGTGGGGGCACTGTTGTGAGGGTGGGGGCACTGTTGTGAGGGTGGGGGCACTGTTGTGAGGGTGGGGGCACTGTTGTGAGGGTCGGGCACTGTTGTGAGGGTGGGGGCACTGTTGTGAGGGTGGGGGCACTGTTGTGAGGGTGGGGGCACTGTTGTGAGGGTGGGGGCACTGTTGTGAGGGTGGGGGCACTGTTGTGAGGGTGGGGGCACTGTTGTGAGGGTGGGGGCACTGTTGTGAGGGTCGGGCACTGTTGTGAGGGTCGGGCACTGTTGTGAGGGTGTGGGCACTGTTGTGAGGGTGGGGGCACTGTTGTGAGGGTGGGGGCACTGTTGTGAGGGTCGGGCACTGTTGTGAGGGTCGGGCACTGTTGTGAGGGTCGGGCACTGTTGTGAGGGTCGGGCACTGTTGTGAGGGTCGGGCACTGTTGTGAGGGTGGGGGCACTGTTGTGAGGGTGGGGGCACTGTTGTGAGGGTGGGGCACTGGTGTGAGAATGGGGCACTGGTGTGAGGGTGGGGCACTGGTGTGAGGGTGGGGCACTGTTGTGAGGGTGGGGCACTGTTGTGAGGGTGGGGGCACTGTTGTGAGGGTGTGGCACTGGTGTGAGGGTGTGGCACTGTTGTGAGGGTGGGGGCACTGGTGTGAGGGTGTGGGCACTGGTGTGAGGGTGTGGCACTGTTGTGAGGGTGTGGCACTGTTGTGAGGGTGGGGCACTGTTGTGAGGGTGGGGGCACTGTTGTGAGGGCCGGGCACTGTTGTGAGGGTGGGGCACTGTTGTGAGGGTGTGGCACTGTTGTGAGGGTGTGGCACTGTTGTAGGGTGGGGGCACTGTTGTGAGGGTGGGGCACTGGTGTGAGGGTGGGGCACTGGTGTGAGGGTGGGGCACTGGTGTTAGGGTGGGGCACTGTTGTGAGGGTGGGGCACTGTTGTGAGGGTGGGGGCACTGTTGTGAGGGTGTGGCACTGTTGTGAGGGTGTGGCACTGGTGTGAGGGTGTGGCACTGTTGTGAGGGTGGGGGCACTGGTGTGAGGGTGTGGCACTGTTGTGAGGGTGGGGCACTGGTGTGAGGGTGGGGCACTGTTGTGAGGGTGGGGCACTGTTGTGAGGGTGGGGGCACTGTTGTGAGGGTCGGGCACTGTTGTGAGGGTGGGGCACTGTTGTGAGGGTGGGGGCACTGTTGTGAGTGTGGGGCACATCGAGATGAGGGCGGGGCACATCGAGATGAGGGCGGGGCACTGTTGTGAGGGGGGCACTGTTGTGAGGGTCGGGCACTGTTGTGAGGGGGGCACTGTTGTGAGGGGGGCACTGTTGTGAGGGGGGCACTGTTGTGAGTGTGGGGCACATCGAGATGAGGGCGGGGCACATCGAGATGAGGGCGGGGCACATCGAGATGAGGGCGGGGCACTGTTGTGAGGGCAGGGCACTGTTGAGAGGGTGATGTACCACACTGTCAGGAAAAGACACTTCGTTTTGAGGACTTGCAAAAAAGCTTACGTCTGGCACCAAACATCAACAGTTAGTTCCCCTCGATGTCGATAGAGATGAATATTTGATTAGACTTCAGATGGGAATTCTTACAACGTTTTTATACCGTTATTCCAACTTCAATTAAGAATTCACATACTTTTTCGCGTTTTCATTGTCAAGTTTCTTGTAATTTCTTTAAAATATCTCCCCACTCCAAACTTTGAAAGTTTAACCAAAGAGCCACAAGATCCTTTAGTGTATCACTGAACCGAGCGAGCTCAGATAAAAATAATTCCCAGCACTAATCCGTTGTGCACACAGTCAACACGCGGCGTTGATACCCACCCAAACAAGCCTAGGCTGACACGCCCCTGAAAGTAATCTCCATGGTAATCCAATTGTCCCGTAGCGTGGAACTGTAATCTGTGGCAATCCCCTTCCGTCCGCTCATTCGTGGCCCACCCTTCACGTGCGCCCCCCCCCCACACACACATCAGAAGCGGAAACTCGTTTTTAACATACATACATAATATATGCATGGGTGTAGGGCTGGATTGGGACATGGGGAGTTTTTATAACCATGTTTAAAAATTTTAAACATGGTTCACAATAAAAAAATGCCAAAAAAAAAAAAAAATGCGCACCAAAAAATGCGCAACGGAAAAATGAGCACCCAGTACCCACCGGAATCGTCTCGGTGGGTAGTGTAAGGGGCCTGCTATTACTGCTTTGATTGTTTAAAATGTGTTTATTTAATTAAACCCGATTTGTTGGGTTGTTATTATTGCAAACATGGCAATCTGTAAAGCGGTATGTAACTTTTTAGACATCGAACATCAGTAGTGGATGAATAAAAATGCACATAATTTAAAATCGCGAGGGGGGGGGGGGGGGGGAGGGGGGGGGGCTTTTATTTATATTTCCTGGCCGCTTGGGTACATCAAGTACATCCCTGCGTGTGTTGTGTGTGCTGTTTTTACTGTACTAACCTACACTATACAAACCTTTTTTTTTTTTACTGTTGGTCTTAGCAAAAATCAGGCGTTCCCCAAGCATACTTATTCTGGTGTTGTTAGTCTCCAACAAAAACATAGCCTCGAACAAACTCTTCCAAAAATGTCGACCCCTTTTCGAGCAATACATAAACTCGCCCACCATTTGGCCTGTTTTGGTGCAACACGATTAAACACGTATCATTTTCCCATTTTATTGACACGAGGTGTATACGCTTCTCCCTACAACCTGCTAAACATCGATTAATCTCCAATAATAAATCTTGAATGGATTGAACGAGTAATGGTTCTGATTCTACCCCCCCCCCCCCCCCCCCAATACATTATACGGTTAAATGCTTAGCTTATTGAATTCACTTGCACAGAGAAAGAGAATAGGAATTTCAATAACTTTTTAAATAAATGTATAAAAAGCTGGGCCAAGCATTTGATAAAGGTGAAGTCCCGACATGGTGGTGGAATACAGTTTAGGTCTACTAATGCAATAAATACGGCGTATATCACCCTCACCCCCCTACCCCGTATGACCCGAATACCAGCCCCCCTTCCCTCTTCCCGGCCCTACAAACTCAAAGAGAAGA